GGAAACTGGACAAGAGATGGTTTGAAAGTAAAGCATCCAAAAGTTTCTTTATGGTATGTCTGTATTCTGTAAAGGCTATTAGAACAGTTAATTTCTGTAATAAAAGAAAAAGTCTCTGTTTTCCTAAACTAACAAATTCTTACAAGGTAGGAAGACATGAGTAAAATACACACTCTGTTGTGTTTATTTGCTCTGGTAGTTTGATGATGTAAAGTTGTGTTTTTGCCAAGTTATGATGTTTTTTCTTTGGGTTCATTTGCCACAAATAAAAAACATGAGGGAGTCTTTGCGATCTGGCAAAGTAATCAAGGCTTGTACCCATATGTTGCTATTTAGTTAATAAGAAAATATATGGTGCAATTTGCAACAAGCTATTTTTACCAAATTACAATATATATGTGGTAATGATCATGTTCAGTATTTACTCAAAATATCCTGCACAATAATATCAACATTTAAGATTGTTATAGTAAACAGTTGGCCCCATCCCATCCTCCTGAAATGTTGTTACTATGTTTTTGTATGAATTTCATCTTTATTTGATCATCTTTTCTGTATGCAGCTTGAATGAAATGGAAATCACAGTTTGGAAAACAACCACAATGACATATGTTAAGATAATATTTTATTTACTACTTTGTCCCTCATGGTCAGTATTCTAGTTAAGGGCTTTGAGTAGTTATGCACTAACTTTTCAACACTAATCTTATTAGGACTTTGCACACATGTTCCAGGTTTAAAATAACCCAGATGACACATAACAGTTCGACTGTTTGTTGTGTAATAATGGAGATACAAGTGGGAAAAAAAAAACTATTTATAGCAAACGAGAAGGTTTCCCCCACCTAGATCAGTTCTTGAATAAATTATGACATTGTACACACGGTTCACATCATCCATTGTAAACAATCATGGCTGTCTCCAGCAGCAGTTTCACACATCAGAAGGAATTCCCTCTTAAGACGCGGTTATCCAGGTATACCATCTATCCCGACTGGAACATGGCTGAATTTCATTTTTTGTTGGTCAAAGACTATCATTTTTGAATGTATAAAATGTTTTGAGAGTAGTGCACTGAAGTAATTATTTACTTTTACATCAGAATTGTTATATACTAAACAGCAAAAAAAAAAACCGTCAGTACAATTTCAAAATCAGAGAGGCATTTTAATCAAATCATTCTAGAAAACAACTTAATAAATGGATCAAAGCAAATTTTTGTGAACAATAGACACATTAGTGATTAATTCCAAGACATTACGAGAAGGTTTAGAGTCTGTACAGTCTATACATCAGTATCTGGTGTGTCCACCGCAAGTGTCATCTGTACATGGAGTGGACCAGACGATTGATGAACACCATTGGCACCTGGAACCACACTCTCAGAAAAGCCTGCCGCAATCCATCGGCTGTGTTTGGTCTCGGTATGATGTTATTAAAGTCTCCCTAGAATTTCATCCCAAAGATGTTCAATCAGGTTTAAGTCCGGACTAAGGGCTTGCCAGTGCATAATGTTGACACCGTTCTGCTGTAGAAAGTCCCAAGGAGCTCTGGCGGTGTGGACACGGGCGTTCTCATGCTAGAAAATGTTGATTCGATGACGTGCGAAATGTGGAGTCTGAGAGCTTGATAGATGTAGAGCACTACTGTGATGCTGCCTCCTCTCCCTGGACCAATATTCTGGAACACAACAGGACCCATTCTCTGGTTCAAGCCAATTCCACTCCAAACCATTATGCTTTGACCTCCCCATGATTCTCGTTCCATGACACATTGGTCAGAATAACACCATATTCTAGTCCTCCCATCTGCAGTTGATATGCAATACTGACTCTCATCTGTGAACAGAACAGTTCTCCATTGCCTTTGTCGCCAATTGTGCTGTTTTGGGGAAAACTGTAGACGTTCACGTTCACGTTGATGGCGAGGGGTGAGGATCGGTCCACGGTAAGATCTACGGTAATAAATGTTCTCTTTGGTGAGACGCCGCGCACTGTATCGGTACAGATGGTCTTCCCTGTGTTCCCACTGTCTGACGTGCTGTCTGTGTGAAGGGATTCTGCACGTGCTGTTGCACAACATGGCGGCCTTGTCGCCTTGTGGTAACCCTTGGTCTACCAGTTCGGGGGCGATCATCCGTGGTGTTGGTGTCCGGAAAGCGTTGCTGAAGTCTGTAGATGGTCTGATATTATTGATATCTCTGTTTAGTATGTACTAATAGAATTTCCAAGAAAATTCATTGATTTTTTAGCATTTCCATGGATACCAGACAAACCACAGCCTTTAGCCAAAAATTGTCCTGTAGCTTTTTGGGAATTGCAATTAGCATTTTTCATGCCAAATTTAATGAAAATCCAGACAGGCCTAATAGAGGAAATTTGACTTTTGTTGTCTCAGCAGTCAGCACCCTTTATTACCATGCTTTTGAGCCATGTTTGGAACATATTTGGTAAATAAAATTGGTATTTTTTTTGTCACCCCAAATCACAAAACAATGTTATATCTTATCAACAAAAATTACAGTGCTAGTTTTAAAATGTGCATTTTAGACTGCTCAACGCCCGTAAGGAACCTGTATTATCTATTGTAAAACTTGGTAAGGTTATTAAGCACTCCATGGGAGTTAACGGTTAAAAAATTCAAATCTGAAAATCTAAAGATTGACCGTTTCTTAAATAACTAAAAAAAATAAACATTAATTAACTTACCAAGACCATACAACTCTCGATGCCATCGATTGCCTGCTATATTTAGTGGATTCAAATACGTTTTTGCTGAATTCGGTTACCGTAAAAATGGATAATCGTGACTTTGTTTATTATCCTAACAATGGTATTGATGACAATCGAGGCTAGTCTCTAATTATATTGCCGATTTCTTGGCTTAGAGTGAAGTAATTTGACTGAAATTTTCAAAATATTCCTTTTTCATTTTCTATTTTTATACGCCCACATGTTCATGTGGACGTATATTGTCGTCGCTTCTGTCCCTGATTGTACGAAATCCATGTTTTTAGCTTGTGAACACTCTGGAGGTCACAATTTTCATCTGATTTTGATGAAACTTGAAATGCATGTTTATAACCTAAAGATCTTGGTAATGTCAGTTGGGTTTGAATTTCATGGCAACCGTTGGTTAAATTATTTTTATTATAGTGAGAACTTTCAGCTCTTTATCAGATCTTACCTAATGCCACTTTAACAGCTTTTTACTAGAATGTAAAGCTCCTAAGATTAAAACAATATGTTTTTAACTACATGTAAATGGCTTTCTATATAGCCAGATAGGTTAGACATTGATCCTGTAGGATGAGCCTCAAGGGATTTTTAAATAACATAAAGCCGAGTACGAACAATCCAAACCATTAGACAAAATTTGAAATCCTAAAAAACAGTATCCGCAAAATAGTGTAATCAGCAAATGGACTGTTAATCCTGTACAACATACATGATGAACAGTCGTAACAGGTGTCCGGTAGAGTAAGCTTACCCTGCATGGCGCGACACCTGCCATAGCTGCATCCAAACAATTAGACGAAATAGCGTAATCAGCAAATGGACTGTCCATATTCATACTGCACATGATGAACAGTGGTAACGGGTGTCGTAGACATAACCAGGAATATAGTATAAGCATCAATTAAATATGTCTAGAATAATAGTCAAAAGAGAGATGTTATATACTTATATTTACTAATCAGGTCAATGTGATGTCCATAAAACATTTGAAAGCTCGCAAGTATCCCTGTAGTTGAAGCTTAGATATGACAAATGTCTCGATCTACTTAAAAACTCAGAAAAAAAGGAACAAGTTCTTGGGTATCGAACTAACTGAGACACATAGCTGGTGATAGTGGAATGTTACTACTAATAAATGGAAAGTTGACAGTTGGAAAGACAAAGTCATCATATTTATCATATAATTTTATACTAAGTTTATGACAATTGTCAAAATCGAGATGCAGATCCAAGTAGGAGGTATAATTGTCACTAGTGTACTCTACATCTAGTCTTTTGTGTCATTTCAAAGTTAAATATAAGCTTATTTTATGGTATAAGATACATTTTGTATTTGTTGAAATATGCATGAAAATTGCTATGATATATTAATATCTCCCTACGCCTACAATGGTGAATTAAGTTACTCTTAGTCTTATAAACCCCCTGGACGCTTATTAATAACAAATTCTAAATATCTTATATAAATGATTTTATAAGGGCAACCACTTCTTAAAATATAAGTTGCCTGGAATATAGTTTAATAAAATTAATGGGTCTGCCTGACTCACATGAGAAACTTAAAAATGACATCGACAGCTCACAATAGACAGCTCACAATATCGTCTTGACTCTATGGCAAGATACATGGTTGATATCAGACATTGTCCCATTTAGAATGGCAGTTCATTAATGTAGCTGTATAGTTAATAGTACTGATTTTCAGTTCTGTTGAATTGGAATAGATTTAACTTTTCATGAATGTGCCTGGAGTCCATTTTGCTGGTCTTAAAATAGGTTAAATAATTCTACGCTGATGCTGCGATAGTGACAAAACTGTTTATTTTATTATGCATTACATTAAGGTCAACGCAAAATATGCTTTATATAGAACTTTGAATCCAGATTTTACAAAATTTCAAAAATATTTTGAAACAAAAACGGCAATTAAAATAACAGTGGCAAAATGATAGAAAAAAAAACATTTTGTAATTTTACAAATTAAAACCTTCTCATTGGGATATGTGTATGGGGTAAAGAAAATAGTAGCTTGAATAGCATTCATTGCATTTTCAAAAAATGTTATCAAATGAAGGTCAAACAAAATTATTGTGACCATATATTAATTTTAGTCAAAACCATTGATCTGAATTCATATTTGCCAATTTGGCAATTATTGCTTGATAATGTGTTAGCTTATTTGATAAATTTTCAGCAAGGTTCCTATTTTAACACTATACATGTTCTGTTTTAGAAAATAAAGTTGTACATTAAATATTACAGGCTCAACTAGTTGATATGAGATCTGATATAGTAGAAATACAGAGTGCCAAGGCAGTGGTAGAAAAAGAACTCCATAACATGCTTTTACAACTGCATGCATCTCAACTACAGTTTCACTCATCTAAAGGAATAGATGTAGATTCTAATGATATTAAAAAGAAATTGGTAAGTAGTTCAAGAAATATCAGATGAACAACCAAACTGTTATGTTAGCAGTGTTATACTTTAACGAAAGCAGTAGGACACCACTATTGATTTTATGAGGGGGGGGGGGCTTACCGGCTATTGAATTGGGACTTTCCTTCCTACCGTTCTTCCATCATTTATGTAAATTATTTTCTAGTGAATGGATTTTCACAAAACTTGGAACAATTTTGTGATACTTGCGTTATTTTGGTCATATCTTTAAAATATGTTAAAATATATGGCATCCATAGGGGGCTACACAGTCCTATCTTGTTGTCCCTCCCGCATTTGGAAGAAAGTAGGGGACTGTTAAAATGTGGAACATAGTAACTCTCCTAATTGAGCTAGAATGTTCAAATTTGGTGTGGGTGACTGGTGTTTATTTGGTGAATGCCTTGATGGAGTTTGAATGAGCATTTTCTGCTTAGAATAAGCAATTTGATTGGTTGATGCTTTGGAACACCATATAACTTTGGTTCTAATTAAGATAGTGATGAAATTTGTTGTATAGTTTAATTACATTAATACCATGACTAGGTTCAATAATGAGCATTTTCTGCTGAGGGTAAGCTGAGCGATAAACAATGTGATTTGTTGAGACTTTGGAGCTCGATAACTTTGATTCTAATTGTGTATAGTTTCATTAGATCAGTACCTTGACTAAGTTCGATGATGAGCATTTTCTGCTTAGGTTGAGTAGGACTTCAAAATGATTGGTTGAGATTTTGGAACCCAATAACTCTGCTTCTAATTGGGGTAGAATGTTCAAACTTGATGTAGGTGTCAATAATAACCCGTTCAGACGCTTAAGTTGAACTGGTTTAAAATCCCCGGGGATCGTTAAACCAGTTTAACTTAAGCGTCTGAACGCAAATGTGGGTCAAATAAACCAGTTTTAAAAACCCTGCTCGCGACCTGTCTTCGAGAAGGCTTTTTATTTTAAACTGGTTCATCTTAGCCGTCTGAACGGGTTGGCTTAAAAACCCTGGCTCCAGCTTGCTTCGAGCATGCGCAATACGCAGTTAGTTACATTCCTGTGAAAATATCGGGGTCAGACAGTGCCAATGTTATTGAAAGCGTGCGAGAACCGAATAAAGAATATGAAGCTACCAATGCGTAGTTAACTCTAACCTCTGACCGAAGAGGTCAGAATGGTTAAACTGGTTTGGCTTATAGTACGTGTGAACCCCAGCGATTATGAACTGGTTTAAAAATAAGCGTCTGAACGGGCTATAAGTTGAATGCCATGACAGTGTTCGGTCATGCGTATTTTCCACTAAGGTCAACAGAGATAAGCAATTTGATTGGTTGAGACTTTGGAACACGATAACTTTGGTTCTAATTGGGTGAGAGATAAAACTCAGTGTATAAGATTCATTTTATCAATCCCTTAACTAAGTTTGCTGATGAGAATTTTATGCTTACATAAGTAGCGATAATCCATTTGATTTTAATTGAGGTAGAATGTTTAAACTTAGTGTTGATGTTCATTAGGTGAATGTCTTGATTGTGTTCAGTGATATTAACATTTTCCACTAACACTATACAGAGCTAAGCAATTTCATTGTTCCGTGCTTTGGGACACGATAACTTTGATTCTAACTTATAATGGAAAGTGATGAAACTTAGTGTAGAGTTTCACTACTTCAAAACCTTGACTGAGTTCGATTGTGAACATTTTCTGCTTAGACTAAGTATAGATAATCAGTTTGATTGATCGATACTTTTCAAAAAGATAAATGTGCGTTTAATTAATGTTTGTCATCAATTTATTGGCTTGTTAAAAAATAATTCTATAATTCACTTGTCAGTTGAGAATTTGGCAAATCTAATTCAAATCAAAATGTTGATGTTTGAAAGTGTCATCTTAACGTGTACAGTGTATGGGGCCAAGTACCGTAGACACCATCAAAAAAAGGGAAGTAATTTTGACTTGGTCAACCAGGCATCATTATCCTTATCTGTTTAGGAAGATGATTAGGCCGGTTGGAGAGGTTTGGGAATTTCCAATCTATATAAATGAGTGTTTTGGGGAATGCTAACCCTAACCCTAACCCTTTTTGAGGAGCAAAAGGTAAATTGGATTCAAGTTCAGCCTTCTAAAAAGGGTAAAGTTTAGGGTTAGTATTCCCTAAAATACCATCTGTTTAACCATAGAGCTGGACAATTGAGATAACTCCCCGCTTTCATTTTGTAGACTTATTTTTCCAGTGAAAAATGATACAATTTCTAAGTTTTGATTTTCTTAGAAAATATGAAATTAACGTTTTAAATTTGAAAATCAAGGCATCCCTGTTTCTTTTATTAATCTACTGCAATCTAATTGGTTAATCCTCCTGAATGCAATAATTTTACTTCTGGTAATTAAAATGGATTGTGATAAACTTAGACTATACCTTTTAATTTGACAGCCAGTCCTTTATTTAGTTCGACAATAGCCAATGGGTTGGTTCCTTGAAACTGAGTGTTCTTCATTCTAATGAAAACTTGAAATATACATGTACCTTCATCAGCACTCTGACTCGCCTAAGTTCAAACATCAGTGGTATGCATGCCTACTAGGAATTCTTTGGTTGACTCTATGAAGTTCAATAATGCAACATGATTAATTTTGAAAGAACTTGAAATAAATCTTCATCATATTAGACCCAACATTAACTCAAACATTAATGCTATCTGTTGTAATTGGTAATTGTGATATATTTTCATCTTATTCTGCTCGTAATATTGGCGCTATCTTTGATAGTTTTATGCTTATGGGAGCTCAAGTAAATAATATTTGTAAATTGTGCTATTTTAATATTAGAAATATAGGTAAAATATGTAAATGTGTAACTGTAGAGGCCACAAAGTCACTTGTTAATTCTCTGGTCACTTTTCGATTAGATAACTTTAATTCACTTTTAGTTGGTTTACCTTTAAAGCTTATAGATAAATTACAAAAAGTACAGAATACTGCGGCTAGACTTGTTACTTTAACTAAGAAATGTGACCACATAACTCCTGTTTTATATAATTTACACTGGGTACCCGTTAAATATCGAATTGATTTTAAGATTTTATTACTTACTTTTAAATGTTTAAATAATTTAGCTCCTGTTTACCTCTCAGATCTTTTAGAACTTTATACACCTGGCCGAACATTACGTACATCAGATAAACTACTTTTAAAGCCCAAAACTGTTCAACTAGTCTCTTATGGTCAGCGCTCTTTTAGTTATCAAGCACCTGTTTTATGGAATAATCTACCATTTAGTTTAAGATGTTGTACATCTCTATATTCTTTTAAAAAACAACTTAAAACACATTTATTTAATCAGGCTTTTAACTGACTCTGTATACAATCGTTAACATGTCCATAATCTTGTTGTTTATGTGTGATTTACATTGTCACTTTGTAAAGTGCCCCTGAACATGTGTAATATGAAAGGGTGCACTATAAATATGCTGTAATAATAATAATAATAATCTGTACATAAGCTATATAATAGTTAGATTTCTGATATCAATGCCATCTGCACATTTAATGACCCTTCTTCAATCTGATAGGTAAATGTGTATGTTTATTTTCACTGATAGAATATTGGGAAGAGGTCCACAGCTAACTCCGCTTGTTTAAAGTCATTTATGTTATTTGAAATGTTTTTCAGGAAGCTGAAATGGAAACAAGAAAAGAGGGTTCAATGGGTGTAGCTAGAGTAGATTCAGAAATTAAAGAATTAAGAAAAGAAAACCATGAATTACGTCAATATATCTTAGCTTTACAGAGTGAGGTGTACGGAGCACGATTAGCTGCCAAGTATCTTGATAAAGAACTCGCTGGGAGGTATATTATCTCACGATGACGTTTTGAATATAATATGATATATATTTATTAACATGCACTATTGAGTATTTAAGTTTTTGTTGCAGTATTGATTGAAATCTATGTAGTAGAAAGAATCCTGGTGTTATATTGTAGTAATTTTATACTGAAGCATAAATGGTTTCAGGCAATGTTATCATTTTATTCCTACTATTTAGCAAAGTAAAAAATTGGCTTCATAAGGAATTGAACTCTTGTAATTATAAGTACATTGTATTAACAGGTATTGCATTAGATGGTGTGATGGAGTTCGTTTTATTCTTATTTCATTAATTTTTTATTTTAAACAAAATTTAAAATTTCACTTTTTCAGAATTCAACAAATTCAGTTATTAGGACGTGATATGAGAGGGGCTGAACATGATAAGCTATGGAATCAGTTAGAAGCAGAAATACATCTTCATCGTCACAAAACAGTTATACGGGCATGCCGAGGACGGAAACATCACAAGAAAAAACTCCCTGTTCCTCCAGATCATGTAAGCCTATATATTCCTTGATTCCTGATTAATTATATAATCAATATAATGTCACATTGTGTCATTTGAGTGTAATAGGAATCCCTTGCAAACTACAATATTGTGAGAGATGAATCTCTAAAAAATAGAAATTTTATTTTCTTAAATTAAATGTTAAATAATTAATTTAAATACATATTAGATTAGCGTGGAATAAGCCATGAGAACTTTGATATTTTAGCAAAAAATGCAAATGACACATTGTTACTTTATTAAGAACTAACTACAGTTATCTGTGTTCCTTTTTTTTTGGTTGAGCGGGGCATTGCTACATGCACCTGATAAAGAAATGTCTATAGAAATTAGACCAAAATAAAGGGCAGTGAACAGCCAAAAAACAGAATGAAAGGTTGATGTGAAGTTATTTACTAGTGATATTCCTGAAGCAATGCCCTGAGAAATACCTCTCTAGCCATTGCTGTATTGAGACTGAAAACTTGAGTGTTTGATGGAGTGGGGAGGTGGATGGCCGAATGGTTGTTAGCACGTTCGTGTTCAATCATACGATCTGTCATTGAGTCAGTTGGCGTAGTTTGGATTCCCCGGTTGTATGTGACAAGGAGTAGGGGCGCTTGTCTAACCTTGTGGCTTTTCTCCGGGTCCTCCAGTTTCCTCCTACTGCTAAAGACACCTACGCACAAGCAAATTATTGAAATAAAATTGGACCATGTGTTAGTCTCAAAAGGCCCTAGTTTGTGTCGAGTGGACGTTAACTCTCCTTTGGATTCATCGGGAACAAACATCGATACTCGCATAGGTAAATTTACCATCACTGAAACTCGCTATTGGAACTAAAATTCTTTGACTCAAATCTTTGATATAAAATCCATAAACATGTACCAACTATTACTGCCTACCTTTAAATATTCCATAATATTTGTCCATTTTTGTGAAGAAAATCCATGAATTATTTATTTCTGTCCAGTTTGTTAAAAACACAATACGTAACATGACAGCCCTTATCTTTGCTCCAATACAATGTACATTTACTTTCATTGATTCAACAGGGTCTAATTTTATAAGATGAAATTGATAAGACATTTTAATAATCAATTATTAATACCTATCATCGGATTATGATAATACTTAATGTAGGTTTTCTTGGATAAAGCCCCAATGTCTAAATAAGTTTTAAAGGGGTTACCAAGGTAATGAATACATGTTATAAAATTGCTAACAATTAAGGCTTTGTCTTTCACTAGTTTCACATTAGAAAGTGCTTATTTATAGCTTTTAAATATCCGACTTATAATGTCTCCATTTCAAGACAAAAGCTAATTTAAAAACAGATTTCCATGGAGAAGTACTCATTGATATTTTATGTAATCTGAAAATAGATATAAAAAAAATCTGTAAATAGTTTGCCTTGACATACAGTATGCTGGGGGAATATTTTATAATCTTTAAGAGAAGTGATTAAAAAGCCAAAAAAGGTAAAAGATGGTCCAAATATAGTTTCAAGTACTGCTGAAATCAGTTTTTATTGGCCAGTGGGTGATTTGTTGACCTGTTACTGTAGATGGTGGACTAATAGTTCCCATTGTTTTAACATGGATTTGCTTTAGTCACAATGTAATTGGTCTGTTAGTAGTCTGGTATATCATGCCTTGAAGTAGAGCTTTAGGGTGAATATGAGTTACACGATGTGTGGGTGTTATTTTGAGTTTCTGTTAATTAGATATTAACTCAAAGATCATGCAATGCTTTTGTTTTGTTGTTTATACTACTACTGCCTTCAGGGCTTGTAAAGATATGTTTGGCTAGTCTTCGAATGGTTTTGAAAGTTGAAAGACCCAGGTTCATATTTCATGTTAAAGTGAAGAACCAGTTTCATTTTGGAATTACAGAAAAGCCACTTTTGGCTGAATGTAACATATAATCAATATACATGTACACGTCACTTGAAAACGTAGTATTTATTCATTAGGTTTTCTTTTATTTTTGGTGAAACTTTTCCAATAACATTGTTCTCTGTGGAAAGCAGAGGTTTGGTGATGCTCAAGGCTGACTCCTTGTTTGTATGCCCCAACGACTCAAGTATATGGCCTAGTATTGAGAACTGCTAGATAGGAAAATATTTTAAACATGTAAAAAAGATAAACTTTAAATTTAAGTAGGGCAGTCTGTCCACCTCCCCGCACTTCACTGATAGTTCTATAGAATGGATTAAGATAAAACATTGCACAAGCTTACACTTTTATTGTCACCACTGCACTCCTAAATGTGAACATCAATGCCATCCACACATATTTCAATGCATTCACTGTCATACACTGAGATTTTTCCTTCCTATAAATTAGAAATAACAGCGAGGTTCTATGACAAGATAATGTACATGGACCATAGCACAAAGGGAAAGGGACAGATTTTATATGTATCATCTAATAGAACAATGTTTTAATACAGAACAGAAATGAGTAGTTGAATTTTTATGTCCTTCTTTTTCAGGATTTTCAAACTTTAAAAAGAAGGCATGGTCTAGGAGATTTAAGGAAAGTAAAAATAATGAAGGGACCAGAGGAAGGTCTTGGGATGTCAATAACAGTAAGTTAGATATCATTTAATATTATAAATAATATGTATTGTTTAATGGTCGAGAGCGAGACATTAAGTAATATATTGTAACAACATGAGGGCCGTGAGGCCCGAATGTTTTTACAATATATTACGCAATGTCCTAAGCTTGAGACCATTAAACAACTTAAAATACAGACACTTGCACGTGCTTTGCAATGAAATATGTCACTCGAGTTCAATATTTTACCAAGTTACGCTTGGCACATTGCCTGTACGATTATTTGAAATAATGGTACTCCAACATCAAAGGATGACATCATATCTGTATTTTAAATACTTAGAATAAGCAGTAATTATGGACTTTACAGTCCATGACATTCTAGCGCACCCGCAAGGACTTTTAGATCAAAATTTGATCGCAGATGACTTATTAGTTAAGCTCAGAAGATTCCAGACATTACTGTTGATAACATCAGTGGTTTATTATTGTTGGTTGAAAATTATTTTTGAAAACAAACACAAATGGTAATTAAGGGATGTCGATGGGCTTGTGTTGAGTTGACTGGCAACCAGTGTTCTAAAAGAAATGTTTATTATATGAAACATGACTATCAAATTGTAGAAATTTGTTGGATACTGAACAATGTTTATAGTTAATTAACATAATAACTGAATAGAAATCAGCATGCATTTTTATTCACCCACATTTTCACGTGGAGGTATATTGTCGTCGCCCCTGTCAATCCTGACATCCATCCATTCACATTTTGTTTGTGGACACTCTACAGTTCACAGTTTTTATCTGATTTTGATGAATCTTGAAATATAGATTTATATCCCAAAGATCATGGTTACTTTTGATATTGGTATTTTTTTTGACTTGAGTGTTTAAGTTACTGAAGTAGGTGTTCATATAGATGAACACCCCAACGTACTAATCCAGTGATTGGGAAAAACAGAACATGCATTTTAATGTGTGCACTGTATTAGAAAAAACAAGAAACACTGTGTTAATTAAAAAAGATGAATACATGTACTAGTGTTGTACAGTAGAATCTGTATGAGCAGCCACTCCTATTCAGCAACATCTCCTTGTAAGCGGTCACGATAAATTCCCCCCGTAAAAATTCTATTGTTTTATCCTTTATTCAACGGTCACTCCTCTAACGCGGCCAGCGGTCACTATTTTACTAATAAATTTAACAAAACACCGCCCATTCAACGGCCATTGTTGAATGATAGCATCTTGTCATTCTTCGTAACACCTCCACTAATCCCGTGAGTAGTAGTTAATTAACTGGACCCCTACTGATCAGGTAAAAAGAAATGTGAAAATAACAATAAACCCGGGATTATCTGTTAAAGATACATTATGGGAGATAAGATAAAGAGATGGCAGTTCTCGCTATAATAGTTAAAAACTAGATAGTGTAATGGGTAATTTGCTGAAAATTTCAGTCAAATTGATCCACTATGAGCCGAGAAAGAAGCGGATGAAATTTTTGCATAGTCTTGGTCATCATTACTAAAATCATTAATATAAACAGCATAGTCTCGATGATCCACTTTTTCTGATTTAATTATCAGTGGCCGTTAGCGGCATATAGGAATCTAATCCAGCCTTGACATCGAGAGTTTATTATGGTCTGGATAAGTTAATTAATGTCTAATTGATAATTTAGATAACATTTCAGGCCTCAAGAAAGACTTGTAATAAGCAGATTTTGCTCTTGCATAATGCATGTTTAATTAATCTTTTGTTTTATTAAACGACTAACCTGATCATTGTTTTCACGCTTTACGAAACATTATTTGATACTGATTGAATAAAATAAAGTACCGACTGAAGCCGAGTTTTGTCACAATCATCTAGTATCTCGTTTCCATAGTCACTTTGTTGTTAAACAGACGTTTTAGCCCCTCCTATAATGTTACATACAGAGTTACACCCCCTGTAAATCGGTGACAAAATCAGCGATGTTTTTTGTCCATGTGCTTTTTTTGATAAAATAAAATTAATTCATAAATTTTCTTCACAAAAATGGATAAATATTATCGAATGCATCACAATGGTAGACAGTAGTATCGAAGGTTGGTACAAATGACAAATTTACAGAAGTTATGTCCGAGACTTGAGTAAAGAATTTTCGTTTGGCACAAGATTCAGCGACGGTCAAATTTTTAAGTTTTGATGTTTGCTTCCAATGCACCAAAGCGTAATATTTAATTGATGTCAGCACAAAAGCACCAAGATTTTATTAAGAGGCCACTCCCGTTAAGCGGTCAGTCGTGAAAATTCCCTTGGGTGGCTGCTTAATACAGATTCTACTGTACATAACTCTTGAAGTAATTATCGGAAATCATTAAAAATCTATAGACTTCTTCATCTCTTGACCTTAATTGTTTATAAATTTAAAGTAAATCAGATATTCACTTTAGCCTCCACAGCGTAGACACCAGAATGGCGAACAGACAGACGAGGGCGATGACTGTATACATGGGCGTTTAAAAAGTGTCCAAAACCTGAAATCAATTTCTTAAAATTGTATTTAAAAAACATGACATCGGAATGATCTGATTTGTATGCAACATAAATAAACATGTATAAACTGACAATGGGGAATCCAATTCCAAGCTGGAAAATCCACTGTGGCTAACCATTGTGTCAGAAATATGTAAAGGGGAGACTACTCCATTTATTTGCCATTTGATTTCATTCAGGGTGGTAAAGAGCATGGTGTACCAATATTGATATCTGAAATCCATGAAGGTCAGCCAGCAGATAGATGTGGTGCTTTGTTTGTAGGAGATGCCATTTTAACTGTTAATAATATAGATCTTAGAAATGCTAAACATGCTGAAGCTGTTCACATACTTTCAAAACAGGTATGGTATAATAATGCTTTTGAGAGCACTTGTACACACTTCTACCCATACATATCAAATTTGTACCCATAAATATGAAATGAAATGGGGGGCAGCATCTGACTTTTCAGCACCAACCAGGCTAATGAACATGGGTAAATGCCATGCAGTAAGCTAAGGAAAATTTTGCTCAGACAGTGATGCGACAGCATTCTCTTTATTTTGATTTCCAATTGTTAGGAGATCTTTAACATGCTACCAATAGTGTACCTATGGTATAACTATGGTATATACTCTTCCTAGCGGGGCCCCTTAATTCTTATCCACTAGTCAAATCTCGCTGATGTTCAGATGTGATAGTCTGGTTACTTAGTTTATGGTAGGCTGATTAGTTACTCTTATTATTTAGTCTAGATCTTAGAGCATATCAATTTCAAATGAAAATAAGTTTTTAATGTGCAATATATGAGTTTAATTTCCCTGTAAGAATATATATACATTTACAGCAAGGTGAAATCAACATGGATGTAATGTTTGTTGCACCAGATGAAGATAGTGAAGACGAAAATCAGGAATATGAAGATGAATATGGCTTTAGGTACGTGTTGGAGTACAGTATTGGAAACTATTTTACTTTAACTCACTCATTTCTGTGGTAGATTTTTAAGCCAATAAATGGAAACATCATATGGGACAAAAACCAAGTTTTCTTTCAAAAGGCATAAGCTTGAGTGGAGTTAAATAATATGTACTATTATATTGTTTGTAGATATAGAATATATGATGATGAAGTGATTTGTGATACAAGTGATAATCGACTAGAAAATCCTGTTAGAAGAAATGGACCGCTTAGGATAGGAGCTTCAAATGGCATGGACGTACCAACAGCATCTCATCCTATAGATCCTTTAGCTGCCAGGTAAATCAGTACATGTAAATTACACATCACAATCCTTACTTCAATAGATTACCAGCCAGTCAGTTTGTTTCATTTTTTTTTTTTAACTCAGATTGACAAATCAATTATTTCAAAGAAAATAGTCATTTTTAAAATGATTTTGCACAGAAAAACTTAAAATTTATTGTATATTCCCGTTAAATTCATTGAAATACCCAAGATAAGGCATGCAAATTGACTGATAAAATTTGGTTTCTATGTCATATATTGTCACTACATGATGCATAATTCCTAAGTATGTTCGAGAAAATGGGACCTAATGATTGATGTGTAGCTCAGTCTTACTAGAAAGTAATTAATTATTTCAGTAATTATTAACGCTTGTTGATGAAAGTTAATAGTTCACACAAGATATCCCTCAGATGACTGGATTATGCCAAAACCTGGGTTGTGTGTGGGACTGGACTAGCATTCTTTCGATGGTATTATTATTATTTTGAAAATCTTTTATTCTTTTTAATATTAGGCCACACAAACAAAATGAGTAGATTTGAAATAATTGAAGAAATATGTTAGTTTTGATAATAATATGGTACTATCTGTTGTATTTGGTAGTCTTGGGTTTGAATCGATCAACTGTTTCCCAGTTTACCGTACATGTTTTGCAAGGTTTACACATATTAAATAATATTTATGGATATATTTAAAGTATTCTGTCAGTTTTACAATATACTGAGGCGGTATATATTGGGTAAATTGTCTTGCCTATCTCCAGAAATTACAAATCGTCCTGCCAAAATTTACATTGTTTATTTGGATTGTTTATTTGAGGTGGATAACCAAATCAAAGCGGGAGATAACTGCTATATAAACAAGTTGGAAAATAGCTAGAAATGCATACAAGGCAAATGCATATTTTAATATCAATTTAATGAGGGATTTTATTAAATGCAAAAAAAAATGTTTTTCTTAATAATGCTTTAATCACTTATGTACATTCTGCCAAGATAATTTTCAACAGTGGGTCACGCAAGTTTTTTTTGTTTTTTTAAGTGGAAAATATAAGAATCATCGATGCGTTCTATTTTTCATGAGCGGGTGGTGCCCGAGAACCTATTCCTTTTATTTGTGTGGCCATAACAATAACATTGAATTTTTGGGGTTTTTTGTTTTCTTTATGCTAATTTGTAATTCTTGAACAATGTATTTCAGTGCCGCCCAGAAATCCCTAACAGAACCAGGACCCATGGGAGACTCCAATTCACCAAGTAACAGAATGTCAGGACAGGCCTCTTCAACCACACCTCCAAGAGTTGCTGTAGGATCTTTACAGCCAAATAATATTCAACATAACGCTTCAACAGGTGACACACCCACTTTTAGTGGCAACTATCAGTAGTTTATCCTACTTTCTTTGATTTTTTACATAAAGAATCGTTTTATTTTCGAAAAGATATTTGACTACAAATAGTGGGATAAAGTTTAAAGATTAGCATATGAACAAGAACAGAACAAGTTTTGGTTCATTTTCTTTTATTTTTGAGGTTATTTTGTTTTGTCAGTTGTTACATTTTGTCTGACAATCAGATTTGATGGATTGAGTGGTAGATGCCATAGATGTAGGTGTCAGATTTCATTGTGGTGAGGGTATGAGGAAAAAGGAGAGAAAGGTTTTTTGACTTAAAACTATAAAATTGAAATGGCTGAATAACCATAATTAGGTGATATATTTTTTTGGAACTGAGAGGTTTAGACAAGTCTATCTGTTTGATCATGAGACTAGTGTGTTGCAAGTGGTTATGGGGCTTTATTCACAAAATTGTAAACTAAAATATTTGAAGAATACTGCCTTTTCATTGGCTGAAAGCTCATATTTGCACTATGATTCTAATTGTCAGCCATTGAAAATGTGGAATTCTTCAAATATTTTACTTTTAAGATTTGTGAAAGATTTAACCACAACCAGTACTGCATCAGATTTCTTGGAGTTACTTGTTGTGAAAGTCCACCTTTAAATTTTCTGTCCAAAGGAATTGTGGTGGTTGTGGCTTGGTTGCTCTTGGTAGACATTCTCCTTCATACATTGAATTGAAACTTAGTGTGGTCATATTTTTATAATTTGATATGATGATCAAATAACACACTTTTCATGATATAACAATTACAATGTATTTGCCGTTTCTGAAATAAGTCTATACTGTCCATATACATTTTGTATAATATATTATTCCATGAAGTTGACTGATACAATATAGAATATAAAACTAAATATATTTATAGTTGCCATTGAAATAAGTCTAAACTGTCAATACACATTTTGTATACTAAATTTTAATTTGAAGTTAAAAATTGGACGAGATATTTTTTCATATTTTACTTTAAACAAAATATTGAAGTACAAGTAGAACTATGTATTTTAAATATGAACCTTAGTTATTGTATAATATACATATAGATGACACTATAATACATCAAATTGTCTGGTTACCCTAATTGATAGATAATACCATCTTTTTAATTATAGAAAGAATTAAAAGTAATAATTAAGGGATATTATTTCAAATATGATACTTTAGGAATCTGAATGTTTATGACAGTGTAATCATTGTAAAGTGATTGTAAATATATATACAGTTATATATCTACATCGTTACAATTATATTGGGTCATATGCAACGATTTAACTTTACCTGAAGTCCTACCATAGCAAATTTTAATGGTTTTTGTAAATTATATTCTGTTATTTTTATAAAGTACAAATTATAAAGTAGGTAAAGTTGGAGCAATAAACAGGCCTATTTGAGTTTTATCGGGTAGAGAAATGGTTAAAGTAGCAATTTATAAAAACAAATCATGTTCTGTCTTTGCATGGATTTAAAACATACTATATTATGGACATGTACAAACTTAATTAATCTTATGACAACAAATTAGTCTGGCTTGCATAGATCATTGCCACTTTAATGCTCCCTTTTTTCGTGTTTTGTATTTGTGGATTGTCTCCCTTGTTGTGAGTTAGTTTTCTTTTTTGTAATGAAGCCTATATCACTGCAGGACCCAGGACCGATTTGCACAATACACAACTGGCCACTATTCTATTGATTTAATAGTATTTTTATTGTTTATTACTTTGCAATGTCAGTTTGTGACTTGTCTTGTATTCTGGGTTTCTGTTTGTTTATATGTGGTGCAGTTCTTTGGCACTTACTTTTAAAGGGACCAATTCTATCAGATTGTATGTGCTTGACAATTCATAATTTGTTTTTTGATTAATTCAATAAAGTTATGTTACCTTGTGAGACAAGAGGGCACACTTATTGTTATATTTTGTTTGTTGTTCCAAACTTTTTATTAAGCTCTATTTAACATAATTACATATTTTCAAGACCATTTATATGTTGTTCAGTAATTTGATATACAGTGAAAGAATTTAACGCCAGACATCCCAGTGACATCCCAATATCCATCGGTCATTCTCTACAAACCCATGGCTTATCCCATTTGTTTCATCAAACAGGTACGTTCGTACTGTGATCCAGGAACTGAGTATGGCTTGTGATGTCATATTAAAACTCGAGGCTGTCAATTAATGCTCAGTTGTCTAATGAACACTCATGCCAACTGTTATGTCGGTTATACATAAATTGATTGAGCCTTTGATCCCAGAAAAAGCTCAGTTAATTAGTTGTAACATGAATTTTAACCTTAAAACTTTTTTTAGAAGTGTTAAACCTTTTCAAAATAGACTTTGATGAAGATACCTGCAACAGTCAAAATATATATTTATGGGAAATAAAGTTGTTATTTTACTGCAATCAATAACATGTTGATTTTAAATTCTTTCACTGTTGATTATATTTATATTGAATTGTCCTCTCATTATTATGTTTACTTGTCTAATTATGTGTGAATGATGAAACTTAGTGTATATATATAATTTCATGACATCAGTTTCTTGACTAAGTTTGATTATAAGCATTTCCTGCTCATGATAAGCAATTTGATTGCTTGATGCAAGCATTGAGGAGTGTCACCCCATTATTTTGAAATTGAGTTGGTGGAAATCGGCCTCCATGTTGGCTTGTTTTTACATGTCCAATACTTGGCACTCAATGAATATTTCGTGTTTCTATTTGTTTATATTTTATAATCAGTATTCCATAATTAATTCTCATATTTCATATCTTTCATTTTCCCATCAATTTCAAATACATTTATTTCATTTGAAGAGAATCTCTTATATTCTTTATTGCTGTGGTGTAACATTATTTTTTTTCACATCAAAGATTATATATTTAATCCTAGTGCTAGAATAAATTTGAGATCAGATGTATTCTGTCCAAAGTCTAATCCAATATATAATATCACTATATTGAAAATTTTACATTATAAACACATGTTATAAGTTATGGTATGAGTTATTTTTCTGTCATTGTGGTTCATTGAGTATGGCACTGGCTCACTAACCATATCTCTTATATTCGATCACGGTGTTGGTCAAAAAAGTTCCTCAGGATTTTCAAGCCTGGTATCCCCTGGATGACCTAGCAAGAAAAAGTGTTTAGTCATTCAGATGGTACAAAAACTGAGGTCCTGTGTACAAATTAGTAGTATATGCAATAGATCCCTTGGTGGTATGAATTGAAAGTAAGATTGGGTTAGAGTGCCACTGTATGGGCAAAATTTCCCTTATAGCACACTACATGGTGTATGCAAATTTTCATTCGCTCATTCTGAAAACTAAGATGTTAAACCCCATTTCATTTCATTTTATTTTACATTCTGTCAAATATTTTGAAATGTAATAATGTAGAAGATTCTATAAACAAATGTTGAATAAGTTTGTACTTACATAGATTAAAGCCACACCAATTTGAAGTTTTATACGTTCACATTTTTATGTGGACGTATTATGCCATCGCCCCTGTCTGTCCGTCCACAATTTTTTTGTGGACACTCTAGGACTACAGGTCACAATTTTCATCTGATTTTGATGAAACTTGAAATGCATGTTTATAACCCCAAAGATCTTGGTTACTTTTGATATTGGCATGTATCGGACGATAACTTCATGGATTATGGCCCTTGATTGTACGAAAAATCACATTTTTAGCTTGTGGACACTCTAGATGTCACAATTTTCATCGGATTTTGATGTAACTTGAAATGCATGTTTATAACCCCAAAGATCTTGGTTCCTTTCGATATTCACGCATATCGGATCGTAACTTCCTAAATTATGGCTCCAGATTGTACGAAAAATCACGTTTTTAGCTTGTGGTCCCTCTTGCATGGCAACCACTTGTTGTTCTTCAGGAACACCTATTGCATATGTGCTGCTCATTCTTGGGTAAAACGATAATGAAAAAACGAAAATACTTTATTGTTTTACTCTAAACCTTTTAGTTCAAATAATTAAGTTTTGATTTTTAAACAAAATGTTGTTAATGAACTTGTGTGGCCTATTTGTTTATCAAGACCCTGAAGAATGAATAATTAAATTGCTATGGCCTAAGGTGATGATTATTCACCCTCACAATGCTGAACTAGACATATCTAGAGCCTTTATAAATATTCATGAGGAAAGATGTAGTGAACAAACAAATATTATTCAAAACATCTCAGTTGGTGATGCATTAAAAATACATTATGTAAGATTTAGATAAAGAGATGGTCTTTCTTGCTATAATAGTTTAAAAATAGAAAATATTGAAAGTTAATCAAATTACTTTATTCTGACTCTTAGCAAAGTTTTCAGTGTTTAAAGTTTTGATAAGATAGTCTTGGTTGTCAAGTACCTGTGCTACGATAGATAATAAACAAAGTTTGATTATCCATTTTATCCTTAAATTATTTAAAGTAGCCAAGTCTCTAACTCAATATCATCCGAAGTCTTCGACATTGAAAACACGAATTATTTGAAAATTTAAATCAACTTTGATGTTGTGATCTTGACTGGAAAAGGTGGGCTTCTGATATCCCATATTTAAGACAAAATAAACATTTTACCATTGGTACTCGAATCATGTACCATGATGCGTTTCAGCGTCATTTGTAACAAGGGACTCGAAGAACGAGGCTAGACATATTCCACAAGTCGTGTCTAACGGTGAAGCCATAATTCTTATCTAGAGAGCATGCAATACTATCGGTGTTGACTGGAATAGACGCTAGAGCTTGCGATTGAGACTTCTGGCATATTTCGCTGAACATAAATGATTTGAAATTAAAGTAAAAAACGGAAACGATTGAATGTAAATCAGTTTATATACATTCATATTATATTATATGCATTGCAACCCATTTGTGTCAATTTCTATGTCCCAAATATTAGCAATTTAACTCCTTTAATGTCGAGAGGGTTCTAACTTCTAATCCATTCATTATCTAAGCCATCTGATGATCCAGAGAGTTGATTATAGGCTTGTCATGTGAATAAATGTCTAAATAATAATTTATTTATAACATTTGAAGCCAGAAAGAAGATCTACAATAGGAAGATTTAGCTCTTACATAATGCATTCTTGAGAGAGGTAGGATGGGTTACCGAAAATGATAAATTGTATACTATTGATAAAACAATATACCATAAGTGTGCTATTATTAGATGTAAACATCAGTAGGTTTTGTGAACATGATTTTAAGTTATTTTACTTGTGCCTTGAAACAAAATGTATGTATTTAATTTGTCTTAAAGACATGAAATTTGTATAAAGGAGGTATTTATTGTTTGTGCATGTTATTGATGATTTCTGTACTTCTTCAGTTGGGTAATATGTGTGTTTTGTTTGTATTCCATTAGTATTTAAATTTTTTGTAAAAAAAACAAATTAACAATATTTATTCTAAAAATGTCTAGTTTGTATTCGGAGTACATGCTATTATAGACAGTGCTATAAATTAGACTCTTCTTTTATCCAAGATACTAACAAAGAGATGATGGAACTTGAAATGATTTAAATTGTTACTTGTTTATTTTGAATAACATTAATAAGTTACTGATAGGTATATAACTACAGTAATAAACCACTAAGAAATAAACTACAATATTGCATACCTGTTGATTTTAAGATATATAATTATGGTATATATATATGTATGTGTTATATTTATTCCATTGAAGTGCAATGATTTTGTATAGATATTATGTTATGTAAATATATCACTCATAACCACTGGTTGTAAATATATAAGATCTATCATATGTCAATTGTCATTATGAAATATGGAATTAACATTGATTGAATAAATCATTAAAATGGGAAAAATACTCTATATTCATGAGTTTTGTTTTAAAGAATCCTAACTCCCAACCAAATTCATCCCACATTCAGATGAACCCAATGAAACAATTCGACCAGAAAAAGAACAGGTGAAAAGGTTGCATTTTTGATTCTAAAACTTAAAGACACTGATCATCATTTGAGGGATTTCAATACCTTGTAAACTACAATATTATCAAACGTGAATATCATAAAGGAATATCGCTTCAAAAATGGTTTAATTCTTATAATATAACATATAATTAATTGAAAGTTTAACAACATTCAGCATCTTTTACAAACCACATAAACAAGCCAGTGCCACCTATACATGTAAGTGTTGGGTAAAATGTATTGCAACACCGGGAGATTAGATATTGTCAGGAAAACGCCATGAACCGAAGGGGAGAACTCCTTATAACGGATATGTATTCTAAAGAAACAGATACCAAAAACTATCTTTCATAAAAATCATGTCACCCACGCCATACCAAAAATAATATACCTTTTTCTTTAGCTAGAAAAATATGCACCATTGGTGATAGATGAAGACCTCCGGGTTGTCAGATTAGGTTAGTTAAAAAGAAATTTATTGAAACAGTCGGGATAAATAAGGCTTTGGCAATTGATACCCAAACACTGAGGGCTACTAAAGCAAAAGACAGTTCGGATAATATCATTACATTTGTCGCTACTCATAACCTCCAACATCTTTAAAACAGTGTACGAGAGCAGGTCACTTCCTGGCAACAAACGACAATCTCAGAACGAAATTTGATAATGTTCAATTCATTAATTTCACAAAGACAGCCACCTTATCTGAAACGCCTCCTAACCAAAGCAAAATTCAATTCATCTATCACAAGAACCGGCTTTTATGTATCTAAATGCCCGGATCTGCGATGTAAATGTTGCGACCATATTACGCCAAATAACAAATATAATTTTCATAAGTTTACGTTTAGTTTAGTTTAAACATATTTTATTGACAAATATCAAAAGGATTGAGCACAAGTTTCAAAAACTTAGAAAAGCTCTTTCCATACATATAAATGATAGACAAAATTTAATACAAACAAGATTGCGAAATAGTATATAGAATAATAAATAATTTATAAGTAAAGTCAGATGAATTATATCGCAAAGCTCTATATAAAATAAGTGAAGAGGTGATAAAGAGAATATAAAATTATATTTAAAACTTGAAAAATAAAGTTTAATAAATGGGATATAAATGAACTGTTCCATGTATTTTTAAAAAAAAAAAAAAAAAAATTGTTATCCACCAAAAAAGCTATAGCTAATAATTTAATCTTTGATGTAACTACTAACAATAACTTTTAATTAAATCGTTTTGAAAGTTTGATATATTTGTGAACTTCAAGGAAAAGGTTTGTATTCATCTCAATTGACAATTCTGAATTGCCGCACAATAGGATATCTATATTTATCACAGAATAATTTGACAATGTTTTTAATAGTTTGGCACGAATTACATCATATAAGTGACATTGCAGGAAATAGTGTTCGGCATTTTCTATAAATTTGCCACAAGAACATGTGGGATCATTCACAACGTTTATTTTATACAAATCATTTTTCAACGAACTACACCCATGCCGTATTCTAGTGTGAATAATATTTTCATGTCTATTACCTTTACAGTAGTAGATTGGCGCTTTATGTATTAAGAAACGTAATTTTTGTTTGTATAGATATTTGAAGGATTTAATGTTGGTTGATTGCTTTATGGGGTCCTCTAATAATTCACAATCTCGAATTGTTGTGGGGAAGTACGAAGTTTGGTGTAATGTTGTTCTACAATAAGGATATCTATATTCGCTAATGTTTCTTAAATTGTATTTTTGTGGTGTTTGTTGATAATATTCTAGAATGTCATATAAGTATGCTGGGTTTCTCTGATTTTTAATTTGAAAAAATGTAGTTAGTCGCTTTTGTGTACGTCTGTCTGACAATTTATTCCATCCGGTTTCAAAATAAAGCGCTTCACGAGAACAAGTTTTAGTTAGTCCAGTGACAATCCTGGCAGCTTCTAGCTGTACCTTTTCAAGTTTTTCGGTATTGGAAACGTTACACCCATCCCACACTTCACATGCGTATTCCAATTTTGGCCTTATGAATATCAAATATACGTTATTAAGAGTTTGTCTATTAAAGGTGAATTTTAGTTTACGCAAAATATTTAATAATTTTGAGGTGGACGAGATAATAGTTTCTATATGGATGGTCCATTTGGCGTCATTTGAAAGGGTAATGCCCAAGTGTTTGTGAAATTTAACCACTTCAAGTGCTTGATTATCGAATATCAGACTCGGATAATTTTCTGTTTTTTTGGAGCTAAATAAAATAGCTTTTGTTTTATTTGGATTAAAGTTTATAAGCCAATTATTCGCCCAAATGTTGAGATTTGTCAGATCGTAGTTTAGGGACTGTTCTATCTCTGAAACTGACTGTTTGCTACACCCAAGTGCCGTGTCGTCTGCAAATAATCTAGCCACATTATGGAGTACATCTTGTACATCATTGATGTAAGTCAACAACAAAAAGGGGCCCAAAACTGATCCCTGGGGAACTCCTGATTGAAGAGTAATTTCTGATGTCCGGTCTTGGACATAATTAGACAGCCACGTAATTAGCATGCCTGAAACCCCATATTGACTTAATTTGTGTATCAAACCAGGTAAATATACGCGGTCAAACGCTTTAGATATATCGCAAAAAACATAGCAGGAATATAGTTGCTTATCTATTGCAGATGAGATATCATGATACACTTCTAAAAGTTGATGAACAGTAGAGTAGTTCGGTCGAAACCCTGATTAGTATTTGTACAAGAGATTGTTTTCATGAAAGTAGTTAAACAGGTGTTTGAAAACTACCTTTTCTAATAATTTACTCAAAGTACTTAATAGGCTTATAGGTCGGTAGTTTGAAACTAAAGAGCTGTCTCCTTTTTTATAGAAAGGTAGGACATTTGCTTTTTTCCAAATTGTTGGAAAAACGCCTGATTCTAGTGATTTATTAAAGATATATTTTAATGGTACACATATTGAGGTTTTGGTATATTTTAGTAACTTGTTACTAATATTATCAAATCCATTGGCTTTTTTCAATTTCAGTGTACTTATAAGATCTGCGATTTCCTTTTCTTCGACTAAAGGAATATCAAGTAGACAATTTGTTCGCTTATTGAATTTTGGTAATTCTCCTTGCTGAGTGTTATTTGAAATTGATCCGAAATAGTTGTTAAGTAATTCAGCTTTATCAAAATTTGAATGAGCAATTCTTCCATTGGGGTCTAAAAGTGGAGGAATATCATTTGATACATTTTGGCCTAATACTTTCCTTAAATTATTCCAGTAATTCTGGCTATTTGTATCGTTAGAATTCAAGAAATTTGTGATTTCTTCTTTGTATTTTGTTTTTAACGCTTTTTTAAAATTATTTACTTTATTTCTTTGAACTTTGTATTTTCTTAAATCGCATTCATGTTGTGTTTTCAAAGCTTTTTTGTGTAACCTGTTTCTGATTCTTATCGCTCTACGTATTTCTATATTGAACCATGGTTTGTCAGTTAGTCTTATAGTTATTGATTTCTTTGGTATGCACAATGTAATATAGCTATTTAGAATTTCATAAAATATTGAACCATGGTTTGTCAGTTAGTCTTATAGTTATTGATTTCTTTGGTATGCACAATGTAATATAGCTATTTAGAATTTCATAAAATTTTGAACATACTAAGTTAATATCAGAATTTGCAAAGGTACTCTCCCAATCGTGTTCTTTGATAAGAGTATTTAACCTATTATAATTACCATCCTTATATACAAATATCTCCCGTTTAAAATTCCTGGGACTTGAAACTGGAAAATCTAATAATGCATAAACACCCTTATGATCGGATATGTCAGGAGTGACATTAATCGTTTCACTGGAACTAATCTGAATTTCATCATTTACTAAAATTACATCTAATAAGGTTGATGATGTCAGAGTAACGCGTGTAGGTTCATCAATAACATTTCTGAGATTATTTAAAGATAAAACACCCCGTAGCTTGCAGCGTGGTGCTAGCAAGTCATCTAAAATTACAACCTTAAGCGTGGTTTGATAGGCTAGTTCAATGGATCTTTCGAACAATGACAACAATGTAACCTCAAGATCATCTCGCCGTTTGCAATAAATGGTTTTATTAACATATAATAATAATCCGCCACCATGCGACGTCCGATCCTGCCGGTATGGAGAATGGTAACCGTCCCATTTTAGAGATGAATCTAACACATAGTTATCCAGATGAGTCTCAGTGAAACTACAAATATGGTAATCATTGACATCGTTGTATATTGTTTCAAGTTTGTGTCTTATACTACGTGCATTTAAGTGATAGACTGATAGCTTTTCATTTGAATCGTGATTTAAAGTTCCAGGATTTTTATGAACGTCTCCTGATCTTAGAACTAATAAGGCCAAAACAGTACTTAACAGACATAAATTATCAAGTTCACATAAAACTATTAGAGATATTATTCGACATTGCCATTTCTCAGATGCCTCGTGCTTTACTGTGTAGTAAATGTCAACTATTACAGTAGCGATGAAAATATAATGAGTGTTTCACTTGCGCCAGTATTGCACGAGGGGACTAAGAAATTATCAAACAGTTAGATCTTAAATATTTAGTGGTTAGTTTTGGTGGATATAGAGACATGAGAACATGATGTAAATAACTAGTAAACAAATAAAACATATATACAGACAAAAACAGTGAATTATTTACAGTTAAAGGATGAAGTTCTACATCACCTGAAAGTATTATTAGTATATAAGTAAGGGCAATGGCTAAAGTATATGGTATAATATGACATGTTAAGGGCAATAATACAAAATATTCAAAATAGGTTACGGGCTTTAATCCAAAATAATTATAATGAGGTCGGGGTTGTAGGGTACGTAATAAATCAAATACAATAACATATTTACA